TTCAAGAGCAAAAAAAAAAAACAAATCCTTGTCTTTTTTCTTTTTTTTACCATAAAAAATTCCAATGTATATATTTAACAACAGTAACAGCAACAGTAGTAACAGTTACAGCAATGGCATCAGCAACGGCAACAGCAACAGCAACAGCAATGGCAACAATCATCGGTGTAAGAACAGTGAACAAATAGCAGCACAATATTTTTATTGGTTTCCTTTAACCCACTGTCGACGTCGTCATTGCTGTCGTCATCGTCGTCCTCTTCATCTGTATACTTCAAAAAATTTCTGATTTGTTTTTTTCATATTTGATTTTCTACTCTTTTTTTTTTTTTCTTTTTTTTTTGTGCTCAAAATTGGATTGTCTAAAATTAATTGCTGTTTATTTCGATGACTTAATTGATGGTTTGCTGTTGATTTTTGGCTGATGCATTTAGTTGGAGATTTTGTCATTAACTTTTTTTTTCCTTTCAGTTGTTAAAGATTTAGAGCCTTTTTTTTTCGCTGTTATCCTCATTCAAAAACTATTACTAAAGACATTTGCTGCAAAAATAATAGCTGCCTTTTTTTTTTTTGTCTTTTTCACTCTAATAATCTTAGCTTCAAACAGAAAAATATTTTACAAAACAAAAAGAAAGAGAAAAAGAAGTGTAGAACTCGATTGAAATTTGATTTTTTTTTTAGTTTTTAAACATTTATTTTTGTCACTTTTGATGAGGGAAAAACAGAAACGAGGACAGAAATATAGAAAACAAGTTCTTTAAAAAGTTTTTCACTTTTTTACTTCTACTATTTTTGAAAAAAAACCTTTCTCCTCTTTAAATAATCACGAAATTTGAAAGATTCAAATAAGATGAAGAAAAATCAATGGTCAAAAAGTATCAAAAAAAGAAAAAAAAGCTATTCAGTTTACTAAGATTTATACAGATTTTTAGGACAACAACGACAATTTGAAGTAAATATTTCAGTTAATCAGCCAGCCTTTCGTTAACATGAAGGTAAAAAATCATTATGGTTTGATCTTTTGTTGACGGAGATGTTACAAAAAAAGGTCTCGGATAAAGTAGAAAAAAGAAAAGTTTTTTTTTCTTTCATTTTCTCTTACAATTTTTTTTCCATCTACCAATGAATATTATTGTGGATGTGCCAACGAATTCGTGCCGCTGAACTTTGAAGAGAAGTACAAACTACTTGTAGTAAAACTAACCAGTTGTTTTTCTGTGAAGGACCTTCATCATTTTATTCATCTACTTTTTCATTTCCCTGAGAGAATTTGTAGGAAAAAAACCCATTCCTTTATTTTAAGTAAACAAATGAATGAGGTCATCGTAAATGGTTGGGTACAATGAATTTGGACACTAACAACTGATTGTTCATTGTTATTGTTGTTGCAGCTATCGATATCTTTTGACATATTATTCAAATAACAATTTCTTTAATTTAATGCTATCATTTAAAGTACATGGGCAGTAATCCTTTCTAAATTCTAAAAACTGTTTTAAAAAAACTGCTTAAAACAACAGTTATTATGGTTCGAGAGAAATAGGTCAGGTATAGCAACGTTTATTTCAGAAAATTATTGAAAAATTGACAAACAACGGTTAATTTACTGAAATTTTATTGCTGTATAAGTTCAGATCTTCTTTAGGTGCAAGAATTACAAATGCATAAATCACCGAGATGGAAGAAAGAAATGCTTCTTCAGAGAAGGCATAATGGAAATCCGGAAGCTGTTCTGCAGAAATTTTGAAACTGCGATACTACTGAAGCATGACAAGAATTTTAGAGCTATCATATCTGTTTTAAACGTCAGAAGGGACTTATTATTAGCTAGAGCTTCATCCAAATGCAACAATGGTGGCTTCAAGTGCCTCAAAAAAAAAACCCTCATTCAAGTAGCCATGTTTCACTTCATTCCATTGGGCCTAAAAGACTTTTACTCATTATGAGAAGGAAAAGTCAGTGAAGATTTAATGTGGCATATAAGGAAGGGTTACTGCCGTATGAATCGACAATCAACAAGAAGTAATAAACCGGTAAAAGAAAACGTGTTGAATTTATGACTCTGTGAAATACAAGGAAAAGTATGAAGTATACAGAAATGATTTGAGTAAGAAGGCTTAAACCACATCTATCTATCTTCGTTTAATTAATGAAACCATTACTGAATGCTGATTTATTCTTACAAAACCCTGTCCGATGCTGGCAGAATAGCTAGCCATTTTAAACGGTCATACTAGTCTGGTTCGGGTGTTAAAATTCGTTCAAAGTTAAATAGACTGTGGTGAAATTTTAGCCAATTTATTGAGTGATTTTATATGTCTATTGAAGACTGAAACAATAAAAAAGAAGCCAGTGAGACAATTGTAAAAAATCGATTAAGAGTTTTAACTCGATGAAGTAAGACAACTGTTTAGCAGAGTAGTGAAAATAATTAGAATAATAGTCAAAGGTTGGGAAATTGTGTGGTTTTGGTGGGAATAGTTTTAATGACTATTGAAATTAAAACCTGAGCGATTGGCAAGAGTTCTTCCACGATTACAACCAAGCAACTGCTTTTAGTTACCAAAAAGCCATGGCATCCAGCCGGCACTAGTAGCAACAGTCGTATAAGATCTTGCCTATTGTTCACACTATCTGTTCCTGCATTTTCAGTCGACTGATAATTACGGTTTAATCCACGGTTTTTTGTTCCATCGAAATGGCCAAGCAACCCATATTTAGTAATTCTTCATTTTTGATCCAAATTAATCGAGAAGTGTCAACACAAATTTCACAAATTGCAGATGCAGTTTAAAAACATAGAATAAGACATTTAAATGCAAATTTTACAGAATGGTGACGAAGTGATCTATGGAACAAGTAAAAGATACAATTTTTTATTGTGGCTGGTCAGTTTTCATTACGATATCTTTACAAATGGGCCTAAATTTTCATATTACTGAAAAACTGCAAACAGTCTAGACGCTATTACTCTTCCCTTCGTTTATCACTGAATCAGAACAGTAAAGTCTCTTTGCAGGTCTCTAGCGTTAATAAGCTTTTGCTAAAAACTGAACTTAACATGGAGAAGACAAGAATTTGAAGATGCTGAAATAGACGCAGCTTTCTAAACCTCTGCAGAATAAAAATTTATAATATTTCCAAAAGTAAATTACAACTTTCTAATCAAGCTTTTCAACATTTAAAGCGTACCAGATCTTTATAGCCGCGTTCTGTGACTTTTAGATGTGGTTCAAGACAGTTTCGTTACTGTAAAATACACGTTATTACTGTAAAAATAGTGGGTTTTTTCAGCTTCACATTCTTTTCAGGCTCGTTGCTCTCAATACTAAAAAAACACACTCACCAGATTCTGACAATGTAAATCAAGAAATTCAAAAAAAAATGTTTTTTTAAAAAGTTAAAGATACTTTTATTTAAAATGTCTTTGAAACCTTGTTCATATTGTATCTAGAGTTTTTCAACAGAATTAAACTATTTAGTATATTTTTAGATGTACAGAACACGAAAATCTACTAAGCTATAAAAAATTCTGTTAAAAATAAGCTAATTGAAAGTCTGCAGAGATGTTAAGCGGCAATCTGGCAAATTTTGTAACTTTGACGAGGTGTAACTTGCCAAAGAATTCAATATTTCAGCCTCTACCTTCAATCTTCCTTACACTGGTCCAAACTCTACTAACCAATAAAATTTGAAACTTTTTCGAAGTATTAAGACAAAAAAGTGTATTACTTGGCGTGGAACGGCTTATATATGTATAGTTAAAGACACGCAGATGAAACTATTTTAACGGTTATAAGTTAAATTAAAAGTTGCTTTTTTGCTGTTTTTCTGATTGTTTTTTTAAGCTCACGCATTACTAAACAAGTAACTTCGTACAGCAGATTTTTAGAATGAAGGCCCTGCAGTTTGACGGTGAGAATTTGGTTATTTATCGAATGTTGTGCCAGAAGCTGAATAAATAGGAAATTTATGCGGCTTTATTTGATTAAACAAATGGTGAAAAGAGTGTGGATTTCTTATATTTTGTTAAGTACAGTAATTGAAAAACTTCTGAACTTTGTTGCTTCTTTCTGAAATTCGTTTACGTTTGTTGGCTTAAAATGACGAACTTAATTCAAAGTTTCACTTTAACGTATCAATATATCTTTATGATAAGAAATCTTAAAATAACACTGCTGTTTAAAAAATGATGACTTTTTTTGGCATAAAAGTACGGATTGTAAACACTGGTGAAGAGGTCAACAGCATGAGGAAGCTTTTGCTGTAAGTGGCTGGAAAGTCAAAGAAATTTAGTATAAAAAATATTGTTTCCTCAACTGCTGCAAATATCAGGAAAGAGATAAAATTAAATTATGTTTCAACGGGTACATTAGGGAGATTTTGGAAGCAGTGAACTAAAGTTTATAGAAAGCTTGGTGAAAAAAAAAACCATTGTTACCATTGTTACTACTGATGTAAAACATTCCAGTAATCAACTCAAAATCTAAACTTTATTTCTACTGAAAATTTATTTTGCGTCGTTGAAAAAATTGTGTAACTTGGTGGGGAATTTATTTGGTTTGCTGTATACTGCCTAGACTCTACTAATCAGGAAAAAATAAAAAAAAAACTTGAGACATTATGTGGAAAAATGTGACACTTGGCGTTGTATGGCCTATATATATGTTTGTAATCTTTTAAGTCGTGTTTGAATGACTAGGTGCTTTATTAAACGGGGAACTTTGACAAGGTTTTTATTTCATACTTGTTACGTGTGGCGATAAAGTAGGAGCAGATTGGCAACAATAAATTAAATAGTTACCAAATATAGATTTCAAGTTAGATCCTGTCTGTTTTCGCGTCCAGTATCATTTCAGTAGGTAGATTACAGCCAAAACTTTTTAAAAACAATCCTGGACTCTTTAGAGCTTAGTGTACTCAGACGTTCCTTTATAACCAGATTTTCTTATTATTGTTCTCGTTGGTTCTATCCTTTTTTTATATCTACTGCTGAAATTTCATTGGTAAAGAGCAAAAGAGTTTCTTAGCTTATAGATAATGCAACAAGTAAATAACTTTTGATAAGTGAACGGTAACCTATAAGCGGCTGAGCCAATCAATGGACGATCAGTGTCTGGAAGAGGATTTAGCTGTGAATAATGAAGGTTGCATTCCCAGTATAGATCTTTCTTAATTTCCGGCAAGTCATCTCGTGCATTGTCAACAATAAAGAGCGTTGTCTGCAAAAGGAAGATCAAACATTTCTGGGCCACAGCTAAAAAGCAAATATCTTTT